GCACGGAGAGAAGAATCTTGATAGTCCTTAGAGAGGTTTCCCCACTTCGGCATCATGTTCTGCATCCTGGATCTCTTGCCTGAGGCTAGTCCCATCATTTCTTCCGAGTATCTGAGGTGGGAATAGCCTAGAGACGAGCTGTGTTGAATTTCATTTGACTCAGGCTAAGTTGTGATATTTGTTAACACATCCAGGTATTGAAATCTAATAAGCAGCTTAATGAGTCTCTTATGAGACAAGTCAGGAATGGAATGGAAGTAATATAAAAGAAATATAAAAATTAATAAAATGCCACAACAGGGATTCATCAGTGTGGCGAAAGATGTGGAGGTGGAAGCTAGCTCAGAGAGTCCATGAGGAAGAGTGAAAACAGTGGAATAGAATAGGAGAGAGTCAGGGTAAGAAAAGAGTTTCAAGGAGGAATGAGCAGTTGACAGCAGAAGAGATAACTGCAGAAAAGTGGGAAAAGTAGAAGAGCAACGATGATTGGTCAACCAGAATGTAACGCTTTATTTTAAAAAGAGAGAAATTAGAAAAACAATGCATTTTAATTGTTCAGCCAGATTCACTTTGTCATCATCAATAAAATTCTAGGTCTTATTATTGATGCCTTTGGTGAGCTAAGAGACCAACAGGAACAAGTTCGAGAAGATATGGAGGTAATGCGCTTCTGACTACTAATGATTTCCACGTGCACTTTTATAGCCCTTTATCAAACTTTTTTTACTTAAATAGGTTCTGCTGCTATTTAAGTTCATTGCCATGCACAACTACAAATAAAGCTGTGGTCCCCATCTATCCACTTCTATTCTCTGTGCCCATCATCAAACTCAGTGCATTTCTTGTGCACCCCACTGTCGCCACCCTGTGTGGAAGGGCTAAAAGAATTTTTAAAAAAAAGTTTTCTTATGTTTCTCAATACAGTTAGAGACCTTCATTAAACCCTTTTCCCACCTGCCTGTAAACCCAAACCTAATAATGCCTTTGCTATTTTTGTAGACGAAGTGTTTCATCTGTGGGATTGGCAATGACTACTTTGACACAACCCCTCACGGTTTCGAAACACACACATTACAAGAACACAACTTAGCCAACTACTTGTGAGTATTCGGGTTAAGAGGTTCTTAATAATATAAGCAATTTGTTTTCCATAGTTTCTGCAGAGTCCATTTCTGGCAATTTCTCTGAAAAAGTAGAAGCAATCAGAAAAGAGCTTCTACTAGTTCCCAGCAACCACATGCAGAGAGATGTTTGCTAGAAGCAAGCATAATCTATTACAAAGGCCTGTCCTTCTACTTGAGAATCAGACCCCAGCCTTTCCCATCTTTCCAAGGACACATAACTGCAGCAATTTCTCTACTGGAGTTTTCCTTTCATTATACACATATGGTGCTATTTTTCATCTTAGGAGAAACGAGAATTTTGAGTCCACACCATTAAAAGATTTGATCTTTTCAAGGTCATCAGTGAACCTGCAGGGCCCTAAATTCAGTGTCATATTTCAGGCCACGTCATGTCACCTAGTAATCTCATTCTAAGGTAAAGTACTCAGGAATGAGCTAGTGGTAGTCACGGACTTACGCAACTTTTTACCCTGCAGAATTTATAGAGTATTCCACAATCAAGATTGTTATGGGCTCTCTTTCCAGGCTTAATCCTTGCCCATCGTACTGTACTTGCATGGTCAGTGGTTCAAACTCACCAGCCACTCCTCTCCTTGGAAACGCTATACAGGGTTGCTATGAGTCTGAACTGAGTTGATGGCACTTTAACAATCTTTCTTTAGAATGAAACAGACACAGCCTTTGGGAACGTTTTCATAGTCAAATAGAAGGGCCAAAAGATGTGTTTTTGTCTTCTAGATAGTGAAACGAGAAGACATGAGTTTTTAAAAATAAGTTTAGCCCACTGTTCCAGATCATGAATATCATTTTTTTAATCTCATGAAGAGTTTACATAAGTTAAGGATAGAAGGATTTTATCTGGGTTAGGACTCCCTTCTGTGTCTTCCTATGACAACCACCACACTCTGCATTATTTTCTTAGTCTCTGTCCTCCACTCGCAGAACACCTGAGAGGAGAGAACTGACGCATGAACCTCTCATCCTAAAACAGAGCTTTTTCAAGTAAATATGAGGGGGCTTCCGAAAGGTTGTGTGGGGGGCATTCCCTTTCTCTTTTAATTCCTTTGAAGCCCATTTGTATGTGCTGAGAAAAGATTAATGGCCTAAATTATTACACATTATAAATTGGTCACACCTATGTAATCTTGAGGCAATTAAAACACAATTAGAACTTCTCCTTCTCCTGGGGCTAAGGTCCTCTCTCTCCATCCCCAGTGAGTCTTATTTGTTCTTTCCCTTTCCTTGCCACCACCTTCTCCTTAAGGGCACATGGGGCCTGTGAATGCTGTCTCCAACTTCACATAATGCAAGCTGATCTACCCAGCCTGAAACGGAGCATGACAGAGATGGAGTCCTGGTGTGGCACTGTAGGTTAAGTTAAGCACTAGACTGCAAGCTCTGTAGTTCAAACTTACCAATGGATCCTCTGAAACTCTATGTTGTTCCGTACTGTCGAGTTGGTCCTTACTCAGCAACCCTGTACAGATCCTTGAGATACACAAAGCATTTCCATTTTATGTTGTTATTACGTGCCTTCGATTCTACTCATAGTGACCCTGTTTAAACTGTTGACATTGTGCTTTGCAGTCCAGTGCTGTTCCACAGCACAAAATGATAAATTAGCTTGCTAAAAGTTGTATAAGAGTCTGAGTATACCATTTTATAATCATTTAAATGTAGTCAAAGATTGGGATCCCAAAGGAATTTTCACACAAAAAAAATACTGAGCCCTCTCTTCAGTTCACTTGATAAAATAAGTGAACTTAGATTTCTTAAGCAAAGTATCTGATGCTGTCATTTTCACATTTTTACTTGTTATCCTTATTCCAGGTTCTTTTTGATGTATTTGATTAATAAAGATGAAACTGAGCACACGGGTCAGGTGAGAAATAAAATACCTTAACAATCATGTACCTGTGTTAGATCTTCCCTTAATAGGCAATTCTCTGGGTATTCATTTATGTATGGAAGAACAGTTTCTCATATATATTTCCCTACTGCTTCCTGCCTTAGTAAGAAGTCAGAGAATCTATTATGTATCCAATGGCAACCTCAATCTATTCCAGAAGTCCTCGTGGTTATCATTCTCAGCAAACGCTGGCATTTCTAAACCCTTATGGTTACGGCCTCAGAGTAGAATAGCTGGAGGTGGGAAGAACATTATAGAGAAATATACGATGAGAAGCAGAGTGGGTGGGTGCTGGTTACAAAGATCAGGAGAATCAGAGGAAAGCAGTGCCAGTGAGAATATGTGTCAAATGGAGTCCTGTGACTAAGATAAAGAACAAAGGAGGGAAAAGTAAGTTATTCAATCACTTAATTAAAGGAAGAGGCAGTTGGTTTTCCAGATCTGGCTTTAGCTCAACTAGCATCTGCCCAAGCTAGCACTAAATGTTCCCTGTCCATGCATTCTTTTAATCAATTATAAGTGACAGGGAATCATTCTACTGCTAATCCTTTAAGTATTGTTAGAGACAAACACTGGGTTGATTTCGTTTGATATCTTCCTGCCCTGTTAGTGAGCAACAAAGAACTTGCTGGTCTGAGCTCCTTTAGTATTCCTAAAGGAAGAGCGAGGGGAAGAACAAAACAAAACTGGGTTGGTTTCCTTACAAAGCAGTAGCTGTGTGTTTGCATCATTTCAGGAATCTTATGTCTGGAAGATGTACCAAGAAAGGTGTTGGGACTTCTTCCCTGCTGGTGACTGCTTTCGTAAACAGTATGAAGATCAGCTTGGCTAACTCTGAAGTACAGTGAAATAAGATCCGCCTTTTACAGTTCTGCTTACTTTACAAGAAAGAAAAGGATATGTTAAAAATCTGTGATATTTTTGAAACCGATTTGACTCTGTGCCTTCGGGCCATATACACTGTGGGAGATAACCTGTCAAAAAAAAAAAAAAATTTTTTTTTTTCTTTTAAAGATGGGATGGCAGCATTGAAGAAAGAATGAATTCTGACTGCAAAATACCTGAATTTTTTTAAACACTTGAATGTCTTAAGACAGTTTCCCACTAGTGAATCATCTGAACTACAAAATATATATTTTGTCTAATTTTTCTCATGGTACTTGCTACTGAATGTATCCAGAATCAGCTTAAAAACTTTAAAGAAACAGGAAAAAAAATCAACACTTTGTCGACACTGAAATATCGATTAAGTGCCTTAAAACCTCTTTAGATATAGCTATGCAAGTTTTTTATGTTTGTGTTGTAGAGGGACAGTTCCATTCATTAGTTGTATTGATCTTTATGAAACTCCACTTGAGGTTATTCATAGGTTGTTTTGTTTTTTTGTTTTTTCAGTAACAGCTTGTCAACTGCTGTTATTTAGAAAGAGAAAAGAAAAAAAGTACTGTACTGAAAATCTCAATCTTATGCCAAAATTGAGTAATGCTTTATGGTCTCTTGTAAGTAGTAGTGAAGCTGAATCTCCTCAAATAAAAATGAAGTGCCCACTGCAATAAAGTACTAAACACACCTGCCCATGGTTTGGCCACTTCTGGTTGATGTTACAATTACACTATGACTGTGGGGGAAGGGGACAAACAGCCTAAGGTTCTACTCACAAGAGAGAGAGAAAAGAGATCCCCTTAGATCAGGACTTGTTTATTTTGACCAATGTATGTCTTGTCTTGCATATGATCTCTTCATCAGCTACACCTGAAGTGCTGGAAACGAAGGCCATGCTATAATAGAAACATCCCCTGCCCTTTAAGAAATCTATGTGATTTCTAAACGGAGGTAGGTGTTAACTGTAGTAACCCTAATGAAACAGTGGGGAGTTAGGCATGCTTGTAAATTCTATTCTTAAAGGAGAGTTTCTTGCTCCCTTACTTACAAGGCAACCAACATTTGCTTCAGGCATCTTTCTTTACTTAGGAAATCATGCTGTCCAACCAGTCTTCAAGCTCTTCCTCGGTAACATTTTTCGATGCACTTGGTTGTTCAGATCCCACATTCTTTTCTTCAGTCACAGATGGTTTTACAGGAACTGGGGAAATAAAAGCAATGTTAATCACCTTACATTAATCCCAAGAATTGAGGTTTAAAGCTTCCCTATGCTTGTTCCAGGATATAATACAGCCCTGGTTATTGCTTTCCTTATAACAAGGGGGAAGCATGCTCATTATTGCTCTACCTCTTTCAGAAAATACAACAGTATCTAAACAAATTAATAAAATGGGATAGAGATTCACTCTCTTAGTTGTTCTGAAGTTGAATTTCACAGTTCACTAGCTTTTTTTTTTAGTCCACCAAGCTCAGTTTTCTCTTTTTCCAGTATTGCTATACTAATAATTTATTAAAGGTTTCTAAATGTGATAAATGCAAGAGGCCACTGCTTTAGGCATTGCAGACAAGCCACCATATTACATGCACAAATTAGGAAGTGTTCCTCTTTTTCAATAAATAAGACCAATATAACAAGTACGAAGAGTTGGTTAACGGGCCCTATCCAGATAGTCGATTAAAAGGTCTGCTGCTGAAAATCTGGGGGCTGCAAGTATCTTAATGCATTTTTATAGCAGAAGTTCAATTTCTAGCCCTAGGTTTAATACTGCAATCAGCAGCTTTGGAAGCCTGGCATATCGAGTGAGAGAACTGCTGTCAGAAAGGTCAGCTCAGGGGGACGCTGAGAATGTGAGCCCAGAAATAGATGTCAGTGGACAGCGCTGGATCAGTCAATAGAGACGTGTGCAGATGCCATCAGGGTGGGGCTTTTCTCACAGAACACCCAAGTGAAGAGGGGTGGGGAGTGAAGGACAGCTATACCTTCTTCTTCTTGGGCCACCTTCCTGTCTTTCTCCGATTTCAGGTCCTGAGATGTCTGACCTGGTAGGGTGTCACCTCTTTCTTTTACAGGCACATCTAAATTAAGCAGCAGATCGAGTTCCTCTTCTAAATGGTCTGCTGGCTCAGACTGCGGTGTAGAGACAGGTTTCTGAGAGGCTTTGGAAGGGCCCGGTCTTGAGCTCTCTCGACCCAGATACAGAGAGCAGTTGGTAGCAGCAGATTTCAGCTCGGAGGCAGATCCCCTCCCTGCAGGGCCCAGAGACCCTTGTAACTGCATCCCTAGCCCTCTGCTGTCATTGCTTCTCTTTGGTTTCACCTGAGGAAGCTCTAAGGGAACGGAGGTCTGCAAAAGGAGCATATTAACACCAAATCAAAACAGACATCTTGTCACATATGCGTAAGTACAAACAAAACACAGAAGGCCAACACACCCATCCCATTGTAGGGTAGGAAACTCAACTCAGGAGGTTCACAAAATGTCTCCTATCCTGGCCCTGCCCTCCTAATTGATTTGGGGTAAATGTGGAGATGTCACAGGAAGAAAATAGGATTGTGCCTCCCATTCTACCCACCTCCCATTCTACCCACCTCAACTATGTGTTACCTACAGGTATTTCAGGGCTGAAATTAAAAGGGCAGTGGCTTTTCTACCACCAACCTGAATACTGGCAGTGTTGTATGTCTATCCGAGTTTATATTTAAACCTGTAATGAAACTTCACCAAGAAGTAAGTAGCAAATCAGATCTGTTCTTTGTAGTTAAATGCACTGATGTCAAGGTGAGGGACAAATACACTGAGCAGAAAACATCATTATCATAAGAATTTGAATGTTTGTTAATGGTTCAAAACAGACAAAGCTAATCCCTAGCGTTTCACATCAGGATCATGGCTGCCACCTTTGGAGGAAGTAGTGACTGCTCAGAAGAGAATCTGGAAAATACTGCTAGGGGGCTAGCCATGTTCTGATGCTTGATCCAGATGCCAATTCCAGGTTATAAACACTTACTCCTGCTTTTTTCTGTGTCTAGGTTATAATTCAATAGAAGGTAAAGGTCCTAGAGGATTGTAATGGGAAGCTAAGGCTGAGAACCACTGCTCTAGAGGGAAGCCTGTGGTGACCAGCAGGGCAGTTTGCACAACATTAGAGGTGGTGAGGCTCAACTTCTATTTGGGGTGTTGTCATTGTCCCCTTATTTTTACATGTTAAGCATCCTGAATAGATTCTGTTTCATAAAAACTCCCTGGGCCTTTTACAGATACTTAAGACAATACGGCTGTGTTTATGACTTGAAAGAATCACCAGCATTGTCAGTATGTGAAGGGCAAGGCTGGAATATGGTCCCGACTCTTCCAATGCTAGACTGAATGTCTGGCATTCTGTTTGTTTCTTTACTCCCCAGATGATTGTAACAGACAAACGAGGTTAAGAATAGCTACTTCACAGCACAGAGATTTAAATAGGTTTTCAAAGTTACTGCGCTTATTTTCTCCCTTTGCTCTAATGCCATCCCTGAAACATCCTTCCCGATTCAAATGCTTCCCCTGTCCCTCCTGAGTCCTGGAGCCCTATATATATATATATATAGCCTTTCTGACCTTGTTTCACAGGTGTGCTCCATTAACTAATCCTCATAGTGGGGCCAGACCCAGCAATGTTAGACCCCAGGCACCAAAACAGCCAGCAGCACTTCCCCAAACACCCTCAAATATTTCCAAAGAACCCACAGGGTCTCTCCCCATTAGAGGTAGTTGCGGTTCTCTCCAATTCTCTGAACTGTCCTCCAGTCCTGCCTGCTGGCAGCCCCAACTTCAAACCTGGTAAATACAACGGGGTCAGCAACTGGGTGTCTAACCATTTCATTGCTCCGCCCAAGCTTACCAAACACCAACTGCAGGTTTGGATTGCATTTTCAATTAGTACTGCCCAGGGTTCCACTCTTTTTTACAAAAATTCAACTGAACTACAATTAACTTCAAGGTGTAGTCAATTGATTAATTGCCTTTTAGACTGTTATCTCCCAAATTTTTATTTTTAGCCACTACTCCCAAGCTATAAATGTCTACACCCAATTGGCTGATAGTTCTACTTTGACATCTCAGAGGCTCAAACTCCGTGCCCAAACCTGTCAGTGAGTTGCACAACCAGGAAACTTAGAATTCTGTCGTGACACACCCCTGCCTTGGTTTCCCATATGCCCCGGAGATCCACTCATTTGACTCCTTCTGAAGTAGCTTCTGGTAAATTCTTCTCCACATCTCCACTGCCATTGCCCTAGTCCAAACTCTAGTAAATAACACTCAGCTGAACATGTACAGTCACCTCCTAATTTTCCTCCCCACCTAGCCCTTTGCCTGTGCCTAATGCCCCTGGCCTAAAAGCCTCAGCTGGATTCTTAAGAGAAGTGCTGTTTCTTCTCCTCCTCTAATCCACACAGCTAATAGATGCCTTCAGGTTTTTTACCTGGACCAATTCAGCAGCAACATTGAGTCGGAGTGAGAGAGGCAGTTGTTGGAGAGCTTGAACCAGTGCCTCACAGTCCACATAAAGGGCTGAGTTCTGTATTTAAAAAATGAGAAAGTGCATGTGATGATGAAATAGGACCTTCTGGAAATCAGAGAACAATAGAAGATACAAAGTAACTGTCAATAAATCAGCCACTGATATTTCTTTTAGCCAGGAATAAGTCTCATTCATAACTCATACTTGATAACAGCTTTAATTTCTATTGTCTGCACCTTGAAATCAGTAAAGCCAAAGCCACTTTCTTGAAGCACACCTCATACTGAAGAACAACGGTCTCCTGACACCCACAGGCCTGTAAACTGGAGACTTAGGAAACTGTGGGCAAGTTGAAAGACAAATGAGCATTTAATGAAATCTACATGGATACCTCCTCTACTTCCAACTTGCTGGTCCCAGGGAGAGGAAGGCAGAGCTTTCTCAGCAGAGAGAGGAAGCTGCTGAAAGATCCAAAGGAGCAGGTTGAGTTCTGTTCTTCTGAACCACACAAGCAAGGATGGAAGCACACTGTGTGAGATGCCCATGTAAAAGCTTCCTTTGACACCTTTTCCATTCATAAAAATAAAGCCATATCAATGCACTGGCCTCACGAACTGGTACTATTTGAAAACACAGTTCAGGTTATCTCATGGCTCCTGAACAACTTCTTCTAGGTGGCCTGGCCATCCAAGAGAAAGAAAAGAAACGAAAAGGTAGGCAAACACCATGTAATGTCTACCAAGAAACATCACAAGGCCCAACTTGGACCACATCTTACCTTACAACCATATACTTCAAGTTAAAAGAAAGCCCAGTGATCATCTGGTCTAATCTCTATGCAGAAATCTCCCTGCCAGATGAGTTTATAATGATCCCAGGCGGACAGTCATTCCGTGTGGGACTGAACAGGCGCCCAGCCCTTAACCCAGACCTGATGTAACCACTAATCTGCTCAACAGGAGTACGTGGAGACTGACAGAATGAATTGGCTTTCTTTCCTACTCCTGCTCTGAAATTTTATCTGAGATGAATATCTCAGGGAAGCAATGTTGGCAACACTAAATGTGCCCCTTATTCTGGAAAAAGTTTCATTTTTAAAATATCATGTATGAAAAAGTGCAAAACATGTTCACGCCTTTCCTTAGTCCTGAACATAGCACATTAACTACTGTGATCAACACCAGCATGGTCAATTATGGTTTTTTTTGTTTTTTTTTTTTGCAAGTTTGAGAGTGGAAAGCCTCTCTCAAACTCATTAGGAAATGGTGATTTTGACTGTTCGACACATGGAGAGTTTGCCACGTAACAACTGAAATGTTACCATGCCCACAGCTCCTTTCCAAGGAGTTTGCAAAGCTACGTTGTGTTACTACTCCCTTTTCTATAGCTATAAAGGTGTGAGAACAGCAGCTCTGTGAGTCCCACCAGCCACTTGCACCTATAGAATGAGCAGAGGTGAGGTCACGGTAACAATGCCCAGACTTTCTCAGCCCTCTTTTGCATCACATACAACATGACTTCAAGACAAGCTATCCACAAGGAAAAGTTCATGAGACCACATACAGATATAGGGAATGGACTGACTGATTATGTTCAGCTTACCCCTTTGTCCCCAGAAGGTTTATCTGAATGCCTTAGATATAAAACTAGCTAAAGTGAGTTGCTCATAATACTAAAAAATTTTAAAAACAGGTATAGTTTGAAATACCATGAATTCACTTTTGACATTACCACTTACATAGATTTTTTTTCTCTTGAAATGGTGAGTTGTTTTGGGTCCTTATAGCTACGTGACCTGCCCTGATGGTTACTCCCACTTGGGGTTAAGTAACCTGGCTTGCAATGTCTAGCCACTGATAGGTGCCAAGTCACATCTAGTGGGAAGACGCTGTGAGGTCAGGGTGCAGAGAGAAGGGAGATGCCCTGAAGGCTTCTCTTCTGTACAAGTGGAAGCTGGGAGAGAGAAGCTGGCTGTGGCCATTGGAGCAAAGCCCCTCCACTCACTTATCTGCTGTTAGTGGGCACAGAACTCTGTTTAGGTTCGGAGCACCTCTAATCTTCTGGTTCCTCTCTGGCCAGGAGCCTGATGAGACTCTGTCACTTAGACCATTGCTGCTTAGTCCCTGGTGAGAACGGAAGTGCTGTGGCCACCACTGTGCCGATAGAAAGCAGCCTCCTCACAAGTCACAGCGCTCATGAACATGGACCACATGTACAACTTACAGTGTTGTTAAGTGTCATCGAGTTGGTTCCAACTCAATGACCCCATAGAGCATTTCCGAGAGCAGTTAGTTGGTAGGTTTGAACTACTACTGACCAGTCCAGTGCTTATCCTTGGTAGGTTTGAACTACTACTGACCAGTCCAGTGCTTATCCTACAGAGCCACACCAGGGATCAATAAAGTCATAAAAGATAATTTTGAGTGTTTCATATATGCTAGAAACTACACTAAAAAGCTGCAAGGTCAGCAGTTTGAAACTACCAGTGGTTCCACGGGCGAAAGATGAGGCTTTCTGCTCCCGTAAAGATTTACAGCCTCGGAAACCCTGTGTAGAGTCGCTATGAGTTGGAACTGACTCCATGGCACATAACAACAACACTAAAAAGCTTGACAATATTATCTAGTTTAGCCTTCATTACAACTCTGATATATGTGTTGTTATTAGCTCCATTTCACAGATAAGAAAATACAGAAAGAAATTCACTCAAGTGGTGGCACCAGGATTCAAACTCTGAAGTACGGTCCTGAAAATCTCTGTTTGTATAAACCACAGGCTAAAGTGCTTCCTGAAGAGCATGAAGCCCAAACTGCTGGCAGCCAAGCCTCTGCCAACACAATCACACCTACCTTTTAAGTCTCCTCCTCTGGGAATATACTGGCCACATACCCCACTCTTAGCACAACCTGTTCTTGGAGATCGCCTCATAAGTTCATGCTATTCCCTCAGACAGGTCCGACCCGAATCACACTCATGCACTAAGGCCAATTCCAAGGATCCTTTCCCCATGGTATCATTCTTAATCATTTCCCAGCCTAAAATAGCTTAATTCATTTATTACACTACTTTTTTTTATGCTGTGTTCTTTTTCATTTATTATGTAAATAATTACTGAGCATCTGTTATATGCTGAGGCACTGAACAAGCAAGGTCACTGTTTTATTCATCGTTGAATCAGCTGCACCTAATAAAATATGAGTTCCTCTGTGCACAATCAGTGAGGTGTTCAACCGCTAACCCAAAGACTGCCAGTTCAACTCACCACAAGAACCAGTGTAAGAAAGGCCTGCCAATCTGCTTCCAAAAGGTCACAACCTTGAAAAATTCTAGAGAGCAAAGTTCTACCCTGACACACATGGGGTCACTGTGGGATGACTCAAATCATTGACAACTGGCTGGGGGTGTTTTGGCTAATAAAGTATCTCTGCCACCTATCTGGACTTCTGGTGTGTGCTGTAGGATCAGCAATGGACTGTGAACCACAAGGTTGGTGTTTCAAACCCAACAGCTTCTCCTCAGAAACCCCGTCCAGGCTCACCGTGAGTCCGCATCGGCTATGGATGGCACTTAACAACAGCAAGCAGCACCCGTCTGTGGGTTAGTTATATTGTGGTGGCTTACATGTTGCTAAAGGAGCTCTGGTAGCGTAGTGGTTACGATTCAGGCTGCGAACCACAAGGTCAGCAGTTCAAAACTACCAGCAGTTCTGCAGAAGAAAGATGAGGCTTTCTGCTCCCGTAAAGATTTCCAGCCTCGGAAACCCTGTACAGGGTCGCTATGAGTCAGAACCGACTCCACGGCACATAACAACAACATGTTGCTATGATGTGGGGAAGCTATGCCAGACATTTCATTAAGTATCAGCCAGGTCACACCTGGTGGACAACATTAGCAGAGCTGAACTACGACAGACTAAGAAGAAAGGTCAGGTAATCCACTTCTGAAAATTAGCCAGAGCTTATGGAGCACAACCAAGTACTGTCCAAGATAGTGCTGGAAGATGAGCCTCCTGGATTGGCAGGCACACCCCAATAGTCACATAGTGGACTCAGACATACCAACCATCATGAGAATGGTGCAGGACTGGGTAACATTTCATTGTTATATACAGGGTCACCATGAGTCGGAGCCACCTCAGTGGAACTAATAATAACATATGTAATACATAACAGGCACTAGGGTTGAATCAGAATCAACTTGATGACAACAGGTTTGTTTGTTGTTGTTTATCGAGAAACATGTAACAAATCCCCACTTATTCAGTGAGAGTACCTGCCGTCCTACAGGGAAGGTATCCATGAAATCCTTTTTGAAAAATAATCAGAATTCAATGAGATGAAAACATGGCACAAACACAAAGCATATAAAGTTCTTACTGTTTATGGATTCAGCGAGAGACTTTTATGATCCTTGTTCTTATTTTACACCTTTATTCTCCCAATTGTAGAAGTAGATTTATTTAAAGCTATAGCAGTATGGCGCTGTAAGATAAGCACTGGATCGGACGATAAGCATTTGAGCCTCAAGGTTGGTGGTTCAAACTCACCAGCCTCTACTTGGAAATCCTATACAGGGTTGCTATGAGTTGGAACCGACTCAACGGCACTTAACAACAACAGGATGATGAAGTAATTTCTCAGGTAACATCAAAAAGTCTACAGGAGAAAAATACTTTTCCACTCTGACAGGAGATGTCAATAAACAAAAACTAAATAGCAAAGTAATCCACTCAAAATCCTGACTATAGACTTTCCACTTGCAATTTCATTTACATGAGTAATTCACCCCAATGGCCAGGTATAAAAATGAACTCTGGCTTCAAGAGTCTGAAATTTGAGCCCCCTGAAAATGTTCCAAACAATTCCAGTAACTGAGAATAAGCTACACAGGAGTTATCCAACTCTTTCCCACTTGAAGACCATATCTAAGCAGTAACATGGAAAATGTTAGTTTTCCGCCTATTAAAGTGCCCATGAACAGTCAAGACAAACTTTTATTTTACCTGCTTTGGACATGAGGCTTCACCATCCCACTCTTTTTCCTCAGCAAACCGGAACTGTGAGAAGGAGTCCCCTGTGAATAAGAAAGAAATTGTACAATTTTATGTAAAAGTCCTAAGATTCTCGATTCTCTAAATAATTTCCCTGTCTCCCAAAGCAAAAATACCAACTCTGAAGAGCTAACTTCCCCAAACTCAGTAATATCATTCAAAAGAAGATCCCGACGTCTACACCTTTACACATAATCCCTGTAGAGTGGGTGATGGAAAATACTGTTGACAATTGAATATGTAGTTTCACTCAATTCTCAGAAGCCACCATCCAGAGAGAACTACCTGCAACTCTACTGTGAAGGGCAGCAGACAAGGTCATCTCTGTCCATATTTGGCAAATTTTCATCTTGTATACAAGAAAACTTCATTTGATGGTGAGGCAGAAAAGAACAGGAAGAAGAAATGGACTAGAGGAAAGCAGGCTCTAGACTGGTCCATGATAGACTTAAAATGTATCTTCAAAGAGAAGTGACCAGCCTCCACAATCACTCCAAACATTATCCAAAAAGAATGTCAAATACAAACTATAGCTCAAAGAATGGGCATTAGATTAGTTACTGAAGCACTGCTCTGAGCTGTTGGAATCAGGCAGTATGAACATGTAAGATCATTCAATACCCACTTTACACTCCATCCTATCACCCCTTTTAAATTATTTGTTCTTGTCTAGAAGATCCTCCTACCTTTAACCATTCCTATTTATATTTCAGCTTTCAGGTACAGGGCCTTCTTCTCATGATACCTCTCAGGTGGTCTAACTATAGACTGGGTTCTTTATTTTTAAATGAACAAGTGGGGGGGGGGGCGTTATGGGGGGAAAGAAGAATTCAAAAATAAAGAGATGGACAAAGACAAACTTAGAACCTATCTACTGCCGTTTCTAAACACATAGCTAGTAATATTAACATTTGACAAAATCAAAACTCAAGGCAACAAAACCAAAAACACCTTTAGTCATGAGAAAGGGTAAAATCACTCCTCTTAGTCATTGGAAACTCAATCTGATTCCTGAAAAGTAATGACTAACCTAATTACCAAGGGTGTCTTCCATGTGTATGTAGATATATATATGGAACTAGAGGAAAGCAGGCTCTAGACTGCTTATACATACATATATATATATATATACATACATATATATGTATGTATATATATATATATATGTGTGTGTGTGTGTGTGTGTGTGTGCATGCATGTATTGCAATTGTGTATGTATGTATTTTATAGGTACATGTTAATGTTTAAAAAGGACTATGATAAGGCCATAAAAAACCTTAATTCTAAAATGTAGCAGTTTTATAAACCATATTTGTGGGTGATAATACAAATAAACTAGTTGTTGTTGTTGTTAAGTGCTGTCAAGTCGTTCTGACTCATAGTGAGCCTGTATAGGGTTTCCAAGGAGTGGCTGGTAGACTGGAGTTGCTGACCTTGAGGTTAAACTGACCTTGTGGTCCAGTGCATTATCCTGCAGCAAATACATCAGGACTCCAACAAATTATAAAAGCAAAAATAAGTTAAAAAGTTAAATATTAAGAAATGTGAAAGTTCTTTCCAGTATGAATTTTGTGAACAACACTAATTCAACTCAAACTGTAGCAGCAGAATATAGTAATAAATTACTGTAAATCATAATAACTGTTTTCAAGGAACAGTGAATTTCAGATAGTTTCATTACAAATCAAAGAACAAGTAAAAATCAGTCCACTGACTATTTTATAAAGAAAAAGAAAAACAAAGTATAGAGAAACAAACTAGTGAAATGAACCAGGTTTTGTTTTTAAGTTTTTAATGTCAGGTTTACATGGAAGAACATCAGCTTTACACTCATCCTATCATATTTCATTTCATTAAAATGATTACAATCCCCTCCATGCATCATCATATAACCCCAAAGGGTTCGCCACACAGGCCCACACACACCCCCAGCCGCCAGCACACAGCTCTTCTCCCTCCCTGAGTCCAGTGTCCCCAGCTGCTCCATCTGTCCACGTCATCATCTCTGTCTCCATCCATGGCGTCACTGCCTCTGGGTAGGGTCCCGCTCTCCATTCTTCTTACTTGATGGTCCCAGGGGCCTGCGCTCCTGGGCTGCAAAATCAATCATTCTCTTCCTTTTGTCAAAAAACATCTACCTCTGTATTTCCTAGCCTCACAGTCAGACCTGATGGCAGTTATTCACTATTGTACCACAAGAGTCTTATCCCCATTTCCTTTCGCCAGCCTGGTCCTAATGAATTGGAAATCATTCAGTGGTGATTCTACCTTCCTGTCTGGAACTAGGCTCCCTCTTGAAAGCTTGTAAGCCAGTCACTTCTTGCCTTTATAGGCCCCCCATTTTGGGTAGCCAATGTCTATGTTGCACATCCCTGTCTACCCTGTGTACCAAGGGTGAAGGAGTGATCCTCGCGGTAAAGATTTGTTCCCTTTTTTGAGCTACTACATCCATAAGTATAGGTAAAGTTCAACAAATTGTAGCGAATTACTCCTTTTTTCCCCCTCTTCTTTCTTCTTCTAGTTGAGTTCTGATTATCCCACCATTGAAGCCAGGTCAAAATGGGTAATATCTGCAAGTATGGATGTTCTTGTGCATCTCCCCTCACTTCATATCAGCTGGATGCTTCACTCTTCTCTCTAGTATTCTGTGGCCATGTCACTGCCTCTGGGCCCAGGAGTCCCCAGGTCTTGCCATACTGCTGGCCATCCAGGTCTCCACCTGGGTTCATGGGAGTCTACTGAATGTGGTCAGGCTTAGCTCGCAACTTCATTGCTGTTTTTATCCCCTCTTCCCTTATCGGTGACCAATATGGACACCAGCCAGACCACATGCCTGCTCATGTATTCACCTTAAGTCTCAGTCTTGGAAGGGGCTTTGCTCTGAGAGGTCCCGACCACTTGCCTTGATGGCTCCCAGGCAAACAGCTTACTTGTTCTTGTAGTAATCAATCAGACTGCCATTATTGTTTCAGATTTTTCCTGCTGGTCTTTCTTTCATGAAGTATCTTCTGCTCTTCTAGCTGCTCCAGGCTGATGAACCAAGTTTTTTGTTTGTTTGGTTTTTGTTGTTGTTAATACAAACTAAAGAAGAAAATATGCTGATAGTCTTCACTCTCTAAATGAAAGCCGAGATTAGGCTTATGTATATAAACTAATGCCACCATTGTGAAAGGGCAACCAGTGTAATTGGAGGGGAGATTAAATAAGTATCTGATTATCTAAAAAAAAAAAAATAGGTAAGTATATATATATATATACTTACCTATGTGGAATACTCATAAGAAAGAGCTGAAAATGATTAGCAGTAATAAAAGGATTCAGAAAGGTTATAAAATTTATAAAATGAATAGAACTAGCCAAGAAAACAGATCATAAGAGACTGTAGAAAGTAATGTTGTTGTTAAGTGCTGTTGAGTCAGTCTGACTCCTAGTGACCCTGTGTAGGGTTTTCCTAGGCGCAGCTGGTAGGTTTGAACCACCAACCCTGTGGGTCACAGTCCAGTGCTTATTCTATAGCACCACACCAGGAGTCATTAGAAAGGAATACTTACTACCATGTATCGTATATCAGCATATCGTATACACACACACACATATATATATACATACACATACACAACAAATTATTTAATAGTGCTAAAGCAACTGGCCAGTGATATGGAAAAACTAAGCTAGACTTATTCCTCATTTTATATACATAAACAAATTCAATACACATCAAAGACTTAGGTGATTTGAAAAAGAAGACCATACCATTCTTACAGGAAAGCAGGGCCAAGTCTCTTTAAAATCTTGGAATGAATAAGGCATTTTTTAAAACCACAAAAAATTTAAAACATCAAAATGAAATTTTTTTCTATGACAAAAATTATAAACCCAAAAAATGGCATACTGAGATGAAATGTTTGTAGCACATATGGCAAAAGTTATGGTTCCTTATATGCAAACAGTTCTTTTGCAAATCTACTGGAATAAAGTAACCAAAAAGGCAAAGAGGAAAAGAGGAACAAAACAGAAAAACAAGTGGCTAAAATGTGTATGAAACCAATAATACAAAGATATATTTAAAATTCATTTGGCAGATTTTTTTAAAATGGGCTAAATAGCTTAAAGTCTTCTTTAATGTAACTTTATAAATATTTATGCATACTCATGTGATTGCATACAATTTTATCATCCACATAACCAACAAAATACTAGTAATACAAACACGACATAAGTATCTATTCCAATATCTGAATAGTCACTTTGAAATATAGGTCAGATTCCAACAATGGCTTACTACCTTGTTGCAAATCAACCCTCTTAAGGGTTTGAGGACATCAGAGAATCACCACGGCAACAGATGAGCACAAGGCAATAGGTCTAACACTCAGGACTGCTTTCCTCCTTGAGGCACTTGTCAATGTAAAAGGTGGGGCTGAAGAGCTGAAAACTTGAGGGTTATGAAGCTGAAGAGAACTTCTGCTGGTCTTACAGCACTGGGCAGACAAAATGTGACATTTAGGGCTCATGGACATAGAAGTCTTAGAAAATCTAGCCATTTAAGAAGGAACCCTAATGAGCTACCGCCAAGAAGTACAGATGAACTACAAACTGACTAGTAGGCCCACACAAAGTCTGAGGCCAGCTGTGAAATCAACTCAACCTCTGACTGTGCTTACAAGAGCAAAAGTAAGTCCTTTTAAGTGAAAAATGACACTATCCTGGTGTGGCACTGTAGCTTAATGTGCTGGACTTCAAGGTCGGTTTGAACCATAAGTCGTTGGTGCAAGCTCATCAGCCTCTCCTTGGAAACCCTGTACAGGGTCGCTATGGGTGGGAACCAACTCGACAATGGCACTTAACAATAGTCATTTTGAAACCTTCACTTAAAAATTTTCATACATAATTTCCAAAATCCATGAAAAACCATCAGGGATACCAGGAGACAAGATCAAAATGACCAAAGACTAAGGTGAGGGGGAGGGGTGGAAGTAAGACAAGAGACAACTACCCACAGGGTTATCAGGCATGGATTCTG